CACCCCCCCCCCCACAGATTTGTTGAGCCATTGGACAGTAATGCATCACATTTTATAATAAATGGCCATTTATGCTGGAAAAAGGAAATGTTGGCACGAAATTAATGAGTTGTGCAAAAAAGTGAGATGACATTACAAGTAACAATCTTCCATTGGATGCAAATAGAGGCACTAGTGAGAAGTTCAGCTAGGCACTTTCGCCAATACCCAGAATGTCTGGCTTTTAGGGCTAATTTTATGGTCTTGTGTAACTCATACAATATATCTATTCAATTGACGCAGAGATAATGCTTTAATTTTTTATTTAAAAACTTAAATTTTAGTGTGTAAACCAGTATGTTGGCTGTTCTGGAACTCTGGGAAAGGCGCACAGTGGAACTGAAGTAATAACTATCCCACTCTCCAATGACACCTTAGTTCGGTCCGAGATTTGGGCGAATGATTCCAAATCCTCAGAAGCCTATGTCACCCTGAGGCCCTATTGTCACCTAGATACATGTCTGCAGAACATACGCTTCGTGGATCCTGGGGTTTCAGTGGAGGGTGGGTCCAATAACCTAACGGACTCACCCTCGACAAATTGTCTATTCTTCCAACATCGTCAGCATTCCTCAGCGACGGACTCAAGTACCCCACCGACCACCCCCTCAATATCGATTATCGACTCTGTCACGGGAAATCGTATATTTGTTCCGCAATTTACTGGAAATACTGGCGGATTTATTATTCCTGCTTCCAATAACCCCTCTTCCTCTTCAGCTGGAATTATTGCTGTATCACCTGAGCCTTCTATCAAGGTAGATACAAAAGAAAATACTCCAGAGAGTACCTCGATAGCAAACTCTTCTGTAAATCAGGGTTCTTCAGGAATGGAGGTTTCAACATAGATCAGCTTTAAATGCCTCCCCCCTTCCCCAACTCCAATTCCGTTATATCATCTCCTCCCCATTTGCATCTTCTTTCGCTCCCTCCACCCCCTCCTCGTTTATCCCCAAATGATGCCATTTTATTCCAAAGGATACCATCTGTATGACTCATAGTGTACATTAAAGCAATGCATAGCGTGAGTTTTTAAAGGACTTAATCTAAGAGGTATGTTGAGGGGAGGATGGGTCAAGTGGCTTGTATAAGGTAGTGGAATTGGGACGTCATCAATAAATATTGAATATACGTGAAGACGTTCCAAAAGGGGTTGTAAATGGACGAAGGAGGCACCTTCACTATAATCGACTCTTTTTAATTATGAATACTTATCCACGCTTTCTAATTTGATTGACCAGTATATAAAATTGAATGTTTGATTATGCCGTTCGCAGGTAGGGCGGGAGTTATCATGCATCTGTGATCATACCCCAGGCACTTGGTCTAAAAGAATCTGGTTTGCCGACGTGCGCCCTAATGGTGTACTTCATCAAACAGAAAATATTCAAATGCCCCAACAGTAAAAGTAGGGTGCTATTCTGATTATGAGAGACGTGTTCGAGGGTATCCATTGAAATATGTTGCTTCCGCAAACCTCCGTAAACAATTGTGCCTGCCTATTCTGCTAAGCCCATTAACGATCAAGACATTTGAAGAGGCAATAAGTGTAGTGGAAGTTAGTTTTACGGAATGAACCTGAAAGTTGGGTATTCCTTCTTAAACAGAAAGGCATCTAATAATCCAATCATTGGATCTCATTTCGAGATTGTTCTAACATGCTTCAAAGGGCATCCTTTTGTTTAAAGTTAAATGTACCAGTCTACGTCAATTATATTACCAATGTTCTCGTTAATGACAGTTGACAACGAGGCGGAGATATGCTTTGGATTGCTTTCACAGGATTTGGGTGGGGTGGGGTGAGGAGGGGGGTGAATATCTAGCATATTAGTCTGCCAGACATTAACACAAGGGCAGTCGGTTCTGACGCATTTAATTTTGGTATTAGTGCGTGTAGAAAGCAGTTACTGCTAGACGACTTGCATTCATGGGAACATGAACATTGTTGTGATGAGGTTCTGAAAGACATTTGTTCATCCGAATTTCCACTGGGGTTGGCTAAGAACGGACAATCTTCAGGAGGGGGGGGGGGGGGGGGGGGGAGAGAAATTTGGTGGTGTTTGCAAATACACTTAAGTGGAAATGCCCCTTTTTCCCAAATAGTGTCCTGATATCCACCCAACCCCATCAACTGATCTCTATAACCACACATCATCGCGTGACTGACTTCGTGCGGGGTTGTCACATAGTGGGATACATGGCGTATGACTTAATGGAATTTAATAATTAAATAGGTTCCGTAAAAAAGCAACTGGCAACTGTGATGGTTTAATGGACTATGAATGAGCTGCCCAATGGTTATTATTACAATAGTTTATATGGCATATTTAATAGGTTTAAATGGCTTTAATTTCACAAATCACAGCAAATCAATAGATACGTTAGTGCACTTTTCTGAATAAAATTAAGTTCTAAAAATTGGAGGGGGGG